GTCCTAATCACATAGATGACCCATATCGACGCGCTGGTACTGTCCCAGCCCAGGTCTCTGCTAGTTGGCGACCCGGCCTTGGCTCCCTATCGCGGAGTGTCTCAGACGTGTATCTGCCATGGGCGGAGGTACAAGTACCTCCTCATCTTCTGAGATCAGCTGTCCCCAGGCCTAGCCCCATTCCTCGCCCTCATGGGGTTCGGGGTTTGTAGGGAGAAGCTAGGTACCTTGGGCTGCCACAGACCCAGCCCCACTGGATTCGAAGGGTGTGGCAGCTACAAAGCAGCAGACGATGTCAGGAGGTGCAAAGGCAGCAAGCACTACAGGATCCTTTTGAGCCACATCCCAGCTCTGGGCCGCAGCCTGAGCACTGGGGAGGCTCAGGGATGCCTCTTGCTTTGTGTAACTGCTGCTTCTTCACTTGTCCGCTGCACCCTCTGCGCGAAGGGAAGGGAGCCAGTATATATACGAGAGGGGGGCGGTAGTAGTACAACGAGAGGAGGTAGTTGAATAATTGAAGTAGTAGTAGTAGAGGTAGTAGTATAAGAAGTACAACAGTGACAGAGGTGACAGCAAGACGGTAGAAGTAGTGGTAGTGACACAAGGTTCAGGGTGGTGTTAGGGAAGCTGTAGTCGTACATAAGAACATAAGAGTGGAAGTAATCAAAAAAGATGAAAAAAAATGAGCACTACAGGGGAGCTAATAACCCACGAGGGTAGGACAAAATCCCAGGGTGTAGGGAATGTAGATGTATACTAAACCCGGCTTCCCCTCCCTTGCAGACCACATGTAAGAAGATGCTGTTTTTCGTGCACTTGTTGCAACAATGAGTTGAAACTCCTGTGTATGCATTTATATGTATAAATTAAATTTTATTTTTTGTTTTGCTTAATGTTGATACATGCATAGATTTTCGTCAATTTCATTTCCTATGTATGTGAGATAGGCCATCCTGAAAGATGGTAATTCTAATTGATAGTAACTCTAAACTCCAATGTAATGAAACCTTTGAATTTGCCGTAGTAATTGAACCACAGTGTAATGTTTGACGATCATCGCCTTACTAAAAACTCAGAGCTCAGGATGACAAATTTCATTATCTGAAAATCCATCTTGTGACGGACTACGTCAGGTAAACATCGCAATGTAAATTTGACGTAGCTAGGATAGTTGCACACTGCGGATGTGCCCAAATCCATCCCTCTTTACGCATTCTCAACACATCCCATCCTTCCTTCACTACCCAGACGCTTCTCCCTCCCCCCTCTACACACACACAACCCCTTACCAGCTACCACCTCACTCTCCCCCCCCCCCAATACTCAAGGTTGAGATATGCGTAGCTTAGTGTTATGAGTCTGGCCAGTGAACTTCATCCTAAATAAGTTTCATTAAATTCTCTGACTATGGAAGTGAAATAAGTTTTATTTTGCAATATTAAAATACTAACGTAGTGTGCTGCTATCCTATTATTTACAGTAAGTTACATAGTGGCAATATTTTATTACTATATTCATGGGGAGGAGCTTAACCCTTAGTCGTACAGCATCTGGGGAATGAGTGGTAATGAGATTTGATCAGAAGAGAGGGTAGCTCTAGTGCCTTGGATTAAGAGCGTTTCACTTGTATCAAGGTACCCCCTGAAGGGATTCCATAGTGGGAAGTAAAGTTAGCTATGTTTACATGTCATATGTCCGAGATACTCAGTATACTGTGGATCTTCAGTATATCTCTGTGAAATGAAATAAAATTATGATTATAATAATAATAAAAATATATTATTATTATTATTATTACATCACGCAGGGTAGATTTGTACATCAAATAATGAAATCTGTCTTCCTAATCTGGGAGACATCATGGGCGAAAAGTTCGGTAGCTAGAGTATAGTAGTTACTGAGTAAATTATTATTATTATTATTATTATTAATCACGGGGAATTGCTAAACCCAAAGGGGCCATACAGTGGCTGGGGAATGGAAGGTAGTCAGAGTTGATCCGTGAAGGAGAGGGTAGCGGTGGAGGAAAAAAAAAGATCTGAGTTGCAATTTAAAAAGGATATGGGGACGAAAACTTGAAACAGAGAATTACTTGGTAAAACAACTGAGACGACGTGGTTGAATTCACTGGTAATTTAGTTCTTGTAAGAATTAAAAAAAAATAATTCCTATAAATCGTAAGACTCCATATTAACCCATTCTAAACCCCTTCTTGTAAACATGTAATGAGAAAGAAACAATAAGAAGGGGGATGATAATTAAGGTGAAGTAGGCAGGGCATTATCTATTTTATCAGGCGCCGCCTCGCTCGTTCATACTAGCCAAGGCACACTGATCTACCTCTCGTGTTTGGTTAGTTTACATTTGTTATTCTTGTTAGTCCGTCACATACTCTTCACTAAAGGACACTTGCCTGTAGCCTGTATTATTAGGTTTCGTTCACAATGGTTGAGGTTAAGTTCTTTGATTAAAGACATTAAAGTGTTCAATGTTTAGCTTAAAATTTTAGTTGAACGCACATCCCTACAGTGGAAACATTAACACAGCTTGACCACTGAGATTGTAGATACTCCCAGGAGAGCCAATAAGATAACAGGGGGTAGAAAGTGACCAATCAGGATTGAGAGTGGCTTCTTTCTGCGCCAATCAAGAGGCAGAGTGGCTAGTGTACCTGAGTAGAATCAAGTTGTCAGAAGTTTACGCTATTTACCACAATGTTTAGGGTGGCCCTTGGTTTGTGTTGTGGGCGAGTGGTGGTGATGGGGAAGCCCCGTCACTCGGGTGCTGACAACGAGCCCAGGCATCGGGCTCCGTGCACAGCTGGACTCGGTACCCGCGACCAAACACTTGTCCGACATAGCCAGCTCCAAACCAGCCTCCCGTCCCGACACAGCCAATTCACTCGCCGCGACCCGTCTTATCCCCAGTAACTCCTCTACTAGGACATTTGGGCCAAATTATTATTCGTTCATTGATTCGTGAAACGTGTTCGCAGATTGTTTAACTGTGCACAAATAGAACTCATTATTTTACAATTAAAGTCTGAAAATTCTGAATGAGGAAACTTACCGAGAAAATCGGCAGAGGACAGATGAAACTTGTTTAAAAACAGCTACTGTGAGAATACAGCATGCACACCTATTTATACCCGGGATACCCTGGCTATCGTAAGTAGTACTGCTACAGTAGTCGGAGGACGGAGCTACTCTCAGAGTAACTCTGTTGTCCCACGAGTGACCCCGGTCACGGCCAGGAGCCTTCATACCCGACTCTTCCTCACCCGAGACAGCTTCACATTGCTGCTTGCTGCTCATTACCCCCATTACTCAAAATTTATCACGATAGAACTCAGCACGAATAGCTTATTTGCCGGCTAGTGCTTGTTCTGGCATACCATACCTAGTACTATCATAGCCTACACCAAACTGGTATTGAGCACTGTTCTTAGGGTAGCCCAAATAGATATTACTGGTACATATTTTCAAGTGTCGGTATATCATCGGTTATATACACAGCTGCGAAATGGCTCGGTACGGGTTAAGACCTTGCAAATCTTGCCAGTCATTAGCTGTAGCTAGTGCTTTAATATATTTAATCCAGCCTGGTACTACGTGTTAATATACTTTTACCCATGGCTGAACAAAAAATATAACATTAACCGGTACACTTTCTAGTAAACAAATTAAGCCCTTCATCAAAATTGAGCTATAGAACCAAGAATAAAAATATTGTTTGTTTTAAATTAAAGCCTGTTTTTTGTATAATAACTGGGGTATATTTAAATCACTGGGTCGTGGCGAAAAAATCAACTAAACTAGGCTAACTGCCTGCAGACTTGAGGATGATCGAGTCTCTTAATACTATCCCATGGAGACTAAAGCCAGTCATTTGTTTCAAATGCTATATTCAGCACAATGTATGAGGGCAATTTGTGGTGTCATCGGTGTGGGCGTTGTAGACACACTAAGGTTAGCAATTATTATTACTATTATTATTATTTTTATTATTATCGCTAAGTACAAAAGGGTGATGCACAGTCTGGGGAATGGGAGGTAATCAGGTTTGATCCGAGTAATGGGAGGGTAGCTCTGATTCCTTGGATCAAGAGATCTTCAGCACCAAAGCACCCTCTTGAAGGTTCAGATTATCAGTAACTATTATTATTACTATTATATTACCATATTTAAGTGGAAGTGCTAAACATGTAGAGGTCATACAGGGTTAGGGAATGGTAGGAAATTAGGTTCGATCCAAGGAAAGGGAGGATACGTTCAGTTCCTTGGATCAGAAGCCCTCAATTATCAAGAAACCTCTCTTGAGGGAATAGCTTCATTGCACTATTTACAGTATATATAACCTATTCATATATTAAGTTATATTTTTGGCTATAAACCACCGTGGTTAAACAAGAATGTCATACTAGAAGATAGTTAAATTTAGTTTATGATAGTTGTGCTTGTAGAAGGATGTGTTCCCTCCGATTAATATAGACAACCAACTGGCATACTGTTATACAGAACAATAATAAGACATTCTATTAATTTATCATTTTACAGTCCATGTTAACTAGGTTTCAATAGGCTATATATATAGGGATAGTTTAGTGTTTAAACATGTAATATATATAAGCAGGAGTATGATAGGGCACCCGCAGTGTGCGGCCACCCTTAAACTGGCCTCACAAGCGGTATTAAATTATTTATGAAGACAGTATCAGAAACTTGGAATTTGTACCATTGAAAAAGTGATGTTATGTGATGATTAAACGATTACAACCGACAATCGGGAAAAAGGGGGGAGAGCAACAGTATTTTTTTTTATGAATAGATGTGAGAAAACCCAGGTGTATGTATGATAGGCGTCTACATGATAATGTTTTGTATATGTGAATGAGGTATTGTGTGAGCAAAGCCCAGACGTACATGTTTAATATTTGTATACATAAAATATTCATAATAAGTAGAAGAGTTGACAGAAGGGTAACATGTGTACTTTTGCAGAAATGCTGGCGGGGCGAGGGCTAGCGACTGTACCAGAGGAAGACTTCCTTCCCGAGGTTGGTGAAACTCCTGAGCTGCCGCCACCCACCTCCCCGCTCAGCACCCCCCTTCAGTACACCGCCAGGGTCACCGCCTCCACAGCCTTCCTAGAACCCACATCCCCAACTAACTCACCATCTCACAAGTCCATCACACAACAGCAATTACCAATCTACAGGACTACCCAGATACCTATTCAACAGGAACAGCAACAACAAATACAACAGCAATCAAACCAGCAAGTGGTGGCTCTTCCTTCTCAGTCACCGCCTAATGTCTCCTACCAAGACTCTCTGGTGAGGTCCAACCTCCTGTCATCTCAACCCCAGCAGCCAATTCACCTGCAGCAGCCACCCACGCCACCACAACTACAGAAGCCTCCAACGCCTCCACTGTTGCAGCAACTCCAGCAGCCTCACACTCCACCCCAACAGCAGTCTCATACGCCTCCCCAACAGCAGTTGCAACAACAGTCACCCACTTCGCCTCGACTGCAACAGCATCATCAGGCTCCACGTTCTTTCATCCGGAGTCACAGTCAACATGACCTCAGCACACAGCAGCAGCAGGCAGTTTCACACCATGACAGCAACCAGTTCGTCATCCCTAAGGTAAGTACCATGAATTGCTTTGTACCAGCAAATACTAACGAGCAGCAGCCACCACATTCACTCTTTTAGCGAGTATATTTATGCATACCCTAGAACATAATTGCATGCACGGATGCATATACACGTTAATTCTTAAGTTCATACATGCTCTATCACACATGATGCACTTGAACATACATGCGCATGGTGATTCAGCAGTCACTCAGGCATTTACCAGTAATACAAGTATACCTAGTATTAACCTGCACTATCTCACTAGTCAGTTTAGACACTTGCTGAGATGCACAGGTGGTCAGCACTCACACCCTGGCACACAGCTTCCCCAGTAGTACATTCCTAATTTTTTTTTATTATCACTGGTGAGCTGGTCTCTGTAGTCTCCTTAGATCCGCATTCATCAGGCAGCGCCCACAGCTTGGCTAACCTGCCCTGAAAATGGCTGTAAGTGAGGGGTAGAAGCAGCTGCTCCACCGTCAGGAACCTGGCGAGGCCACGGCAGGTACCGACGATGTAGGAGTGGTATGAAGGGCCTGTGGGGGAAAGATGATGAGTATGTAGACAGCTGCTTCTCCCCCAGACGACGGTGACAGCAGCAGCAGTGCCTGCAACTGGCGGATGGCAGGCCGAGGCCCACCCTCACACCACACACAAACAACAAACTTTATCATGTATCCAAACTTGTCGGCGGCACATTCGATAAAATTCGTCGTTAGTGCGCGGAGTAGTATATATACCCTGGGAGGCGGGGCCGGCGCGAGGCGGGGCTTGACCGGCCAGTATGGCGCAGGGAGGGATTGGGGGGGGGGATGGCCAGAACCGGATCATTCTGAAAAGGGGTTACCCTCTCATTGGGTACGTTGCGACTAAACATGATGTTGATTACACCTGATTATATAATCTATGGATATACTTATATTTTTGGAATGCCTGCTAACTTTCTTAAAGCTGAACGTGTTGCGAATACAAAACTCCAGTTAGCACTGTAAGACATAAAAAGTTGTTCATCATTTTTTGAACGAAAATTAACTTGTGTAACCATTGTGTTCAAATTCCCGCCCAGAGGGGGTTGGGGGAAGCAAGTATGTGATGGGCGGGGCTTATGTGGCGTCATGTGCTCACCATGTGACCAGCACGTGGATGGTGGTGCTACCACTTGCTGTTGCTGGGGCACCTGCTTCTACCCTAACCCTACACTATCCTCACCCCACGCACACACCAATCCCTCCTCGTCATATGACTTTCATTTTTGGACGATCTACACTATTACACATTGCAGTTGAATCACGACCTAAATATGTCTATTTGGATTGGGTTAAGTTACTTGTAATGCTAATTAGCCTCAGTTTATTTCGTATCTTGACCCTTACGACTGAAGTTGACATCAAGATCATTGACGATTTTATGCCAAAATTAAATACATTCGATTTGCTTAATGACGAATAATAATGTACTCAGTGACGAAGCCAGGTATTGGTAGTGACGAAGCCAGGTATTGGTAGATAAACATTAGAAAGGAAATAATGTGTGATTATTAAGGATGCTATCGTGCACTGAATTATGCGCAGATGATAAAACTGAATTAGGTCAAAGAAAATGTACTTTGAAAGGGTGTCTTGATGCCAGTGAGGGGGGGGCTCATGATCCAAGGAATTGGCCCTATCTTACCTCTCCTCTGCTCGAACATGCAAATTACTACATAAACACTGACAAATGCAGTAGTCATTCTTCCCTTCGGATTATACCAGATTGTTTCTCAGGCCTCAGGTGTTGTGTGACCCTTGCGAGTTTCGCGTTTCATCATTAATGTCATACACAGACGATGATCAGAGTAACAGTGAAGCATACAGTCCGACTTATGATCACTTTCTTGGGCACTGTGTGCTTCAGTAGTGTCCACTTATTGAGGAATGTAGATTATTATTATTATAATCAAGGGGGAAGCGCTAAACCCGGAGGATTATACAGCGCCTGGGGGGGGGGGATATGTGGAAGGCATTCAGGCTTAATTCGGGGAACTGGAGCACAGATCCAATTCCCTAAATCAAGAGCCCCTCACCAACATCAAGGAACCTTCCTTGAGGGGTGAGGAATGTAGAGATAATACAATAACCTATTTATATTATGTCAAGGTATATCATTAGCGAAAATAAAATAGTAGAAATATTGAACAAGTACCCCAGAGATGCTTGTAATTCCTACTTAGACGTACTCTAGTTAACCACTTTATAGATACTTCGTATGCTTCTTCATTCATAGGCTCTTGTACAACTCTTTACTGTGTTTTGAGGTGCACAGTACGTATTATATTCATGGGGAAGCGCTAAGTCATTTAGCACTTGGCGAAGGGGACAATCAAGTTTGAGCCGGAAGGATAGCTCAAATTCCTTGGATCAAGAACCTTTCATCGTCAAGACGCCGTCCTTGAAGGGCTGGTGGTGCGCAGTAAAGTTAGCAGCCGGTTTGGCGGCAAAACCTGATAACCTTTCCAGCTGAGGGTTTAGGTTCACCTAGGTTCAACCCAGCGAAGTGACACATTTGTGTATTTTAGGGAAATCTCACGACTTAACAAGGCTCCCTTACTAAGGGGGTAAGGCTTAAATATATGACTACTTGTCAGACCCGGAATACCCTCCAGGTAGACCTAACCTTGATTAACTTTGAGACTTAGACATATATGCAACACCTGGTATCATTATTTGAAGACATTTAGCCTGGAAGCCGGTATTAGTACCCTAGTTATCATTACTAAGGTACTGAATACCGGCTCAGGCTGAGGGACACATTGCCTCATCTTCTAGTGCCTTTGCGTTTAGCTCTACATGGGACTGATTACTTCATCTTCCTATTTTCATTTTCAACTTCACATTACTTTTGTATTGAATTGATAAAGTAACTGGTTGGCGATGCGTCTTCAAATAAAGATACCCAGGTGTTACATGTGTGTCTCATTCTCATCTTGTTGGCACTATACCAGTATTGTTGACTAACTTTTTAAGACATGCATGTCATCATGCAGGCACAAACATCATTTATCTAGCATACTGTATGACCCCTACATGTATAACTCTTCGTCCATGAATAGTATAATAGCCACACTAGCCTTGAAGGATGAATATGCAATTGCGTTCTCGTAACCTAGTGTTTTTTGTACGAGATTCTTGTGAGAGCATTGTAGCCGAGGTCGCCCGGCTGGGCTAGTGACTTTGTCCTTGATATGGCAGTAGAGGACATTCTGCCCCAACACACTGACTGCATGTGTAAATACTCCACTTGACCCTTCTGTTGTGCCATGACAAGACGGTATGGATTATTATTATGCTAATGTGAGAGGAAAGTACAATGACATGTTACTTTTTTGTGACGAGGCTTTTTACACCTTACCCTATTGACGAGGCTCCATACACCTTACCCTATTGACGAGGCTCCATACACCTTACCCTATTGACGAGGCTCCATACACCTTACCCTATTGACGAGGCTCCATACACCTTACCCTATTGACGAGGCTCCATGCACCTTACCCTATTGACGAGGCTCCATGCACCTTACCCTGTTGACGAGGCTCCTTACCCTTATTACCTCCTACTATAAGGGGAATTACCAACAAACCCCTAGCTGTCTTAAAGAGAGAACTTTAAAGTTCCTGTCAACTGGGCTGTGATGCATACGTTGGACTGCGGGGAGCGCCAACAGTCAAATCGATCAGGGCAGCAACCAGATGGCCTGGTCTGGGAGCAGTCCGCGGGAGCGATGACCCCAGGAAGCAACTACAAGACCCTCCTATGGGTTAGCGCTTCACCAGCGATATAATCATTCTAAATAAATTGATTTATAATATCGTTTTCCGAATTCAGTAAAGGAATATGTTGGTTAATGGGGAGAAGAGTTCAGGCAGTGGCATTAAATGTCTTAGGTTATTACGAATGACTCCAGCAGTTGGGCTTCTACACCCATTATCGATTTCCATGGAAAATAAAATTGTTAGCTCTGCAGCAAACCATGTATACTGTTGCCTAGGCTTAACATTGGGCATTTTGCGCGCGCATAGCTTCCACCGGCTGCCCATGTTCATCCAGTAGTAGAAAGGTACCTGGGATGTTACTCGACTGTTGTGAGAAGCATCTAGAAGGTTGTAATATATTTCAAATAGAGCTGAAGTTTTGAAACGAGGTTAGGTAGGATAACAGCTCATAACATGTAAACTACTGCTCACTTTTGTGTAATTATCCGTTGCATTAACTAATCTGACTAACAACAGTCGATTAACTACTATCTGTCTATTTACTGATAGGTGAACAGCAGCAGCTAGGGTTAGTAAACTGACACATAGATCTTGCTCTGCTCGGGACTGAACCCAGGGCCTTTGGTTGTGAGCTGAATGAATACTTTACCAGAGCCGTAGCTGGTTCACTTTCTGGTCAAGGTTATTTTAGATAAAATTCGTCAGGAAACAGGACAAGAGTTTCCTGACCCGCCACTGGAACTTTTGATCATCTGCCCGAGACCTTCCACTGGCTTAACCGTCCACTATTTAAAAAAAAAAAACATGGTATTTGAATTATTAATATTTTTCTGTTTAAGAGAAAGACGTTGGTATTAAAATATATGAATACAATATTATAAATATAAGGACAAATTACAATGTAGTATTAAGAAATTAACGTTTAGCACGTGAAAAACTGACAGTAAAATGAGACTGGGTTGAAAAAGCTGAGGAGAGAATTGTGAGAGATGGAGATACTTCAGTGATAAGACACCACCTCAGGGTGTGCTGAACCACCACACCCAGACACTCTTCGTCACAATTTCCATAACAGAAAAATCTTTCAACATCACTTTGAAAACTCTTAACAATTTATATGCGTAGTCATGCAACTAAATTATTATTATTATTATTATTATTATTATTATTAGCATATTTTATTTTATGGGAAAGCGGTAAATCCGTTGAGGGAATGGGAGGTATGAGGTTTGATCCTAGAAAAGGGAAAGATTAGTCC